CTTTGGGAAACCACCCAAACCTACCCTGAGGAGGTAAGGGGCGGGGGGAAAGGAGGATTATTCCTTGGGTGTGTTCCCTTGTTCCTGGTTGTTCCCGGTGGTTTACTCTCCAGACCATCTCCTTTCTCCTGTTGAATTCGTGTGAAGTAGCTTTTATATTGCTTTTTGAGACACTTGAAAGAATGCTGCGTTTTTTAAATTGAGGGGACTGGCAAAGCCTGGCTTGGTGGGGGTGAAGAAGTGTCCAGTTGGGCTTTGTCGGAAAGCAGAGGTTTCCATGAAGCTGAACTTGTAAGCGCTCCTAACATACCAAACTGGGTTTTCATCATGGTGGGGAAACAGTAGAAATAGCCAGAACATCTGTGCCTGCCGAGCCTCAGGTGTTCCCTACGTTTGTGTTACCGCAAACATGTTAGACTATTCTGAGTTACTTCTGTCACACTGACATTCAGCTTGTCTTTTCACTCTTAAACATTAAGGGGGCTCTTGTAGCTTCTTGCTTACAGCCACACAGCAAGCCCTTGTTTGTCCTGCGCGCTGTGCGAACGCTTTTTAACCTTGTCACCTCGTTATGAAGGATTGTACAGAGCCTCGTCAACACCATTACTTGCACCTGTGGCAACAAGCTTTTCCAGCACTTTTCTTGACTTCAACTGAACAAACTCCAAAATGATTGTCGTTAGCCTGTCTGCCAACTGAGCACGTAATCAACAAGCTGGAGCTGCTTTTGTGCAAGCAGGAAGGCAGCTGGTTTTGCTTACGCTTTTACCTTGGCAGGACATTTTCCATACCCGCTGCCAAAAATATATAGCATCTGGCTTTTTTCAGCCTGCCCGACTTGAGTTTCTGGCTTGACGGGCGATCGCTTGCTGCACTGATTTGTAGAGGCTATGCTTGGAAAGCGCGGAAGTCTAGTGGCTTGTGTACGTGCATGCTGAGGCTATACCAACTAGTCTCTGTAGCTGTATTATTTACAATAATATTGGCTGTCCTGTACAGATACCTATTAAATATGATCACAGAAAATGGTTACTATCAAACAGTTTTTAGCAACAAGTTACAAGTACATATGTAACTGAGTGGAGCTAATAGGTTTCATTTAATAAAAGCTGACACCTTTAATTGCTACTTTCCACAAGGAAAGTACCTCTACAGAGATCTTTAGGGCAGGGGAGGAAATACATAACAAAGAACTTGCCTGAATACAATAGACTGTTAACTATAAATATGTTTTAGTTCACTATGAAATTTGAGTTTGCCTTTTCACAAAAGTGAAAGCCTACAGCTTTTTCCCCGATAGATTGGAATCTGCTTTTCCCCTTCTCCTTTTTATTACATAGCTTGTTGTCTGTTTTGGGTTTTTTGTTTTTTTTTTTTAAAGAGATACAGCCTCTTTCCTTAGGCAAGAAGATAGCCTATGTATGCCCATTAATTTCTAAATTTTCTTTAAGTTGCTATGTGTAAGCATCTCAGTTTGTCTGGAGGCTGTAGTACTTCCTCTGTGGCGGTGAATACACCGTAGTCATGCAAAGGCAACTCCCCCTCCTCCTCTTCCCGGCCAGTCCTCCCTAAACAGTCTGTTATCCCTCCAGTGCAGCACCCCAGTCATGCAAGCTGTCCACTGCATCTCTGGGATCCCAACAAGATCCCAGCCCTGCAGCTGCACGCAGATCTCTTAATTCCTCGTGTTTACTTCCCATGCTGCCTGCCTTAGCGTGCAGGCTCCTCAGAGAGACTTTCTCCCTTACATGCAAATGCTTGAGGTGACCCCACTTGAGCCCTGTTTTGTTCATTTTGTGATCCTCGTTGTTCACATCACCTGAGGCCCTTTATTTGTCAGCCCTGTCTATCATAGAATCATAGAATCGTTTAGGTTGGAAAAGACCTTTAAGATCATCCAGTCCAACCATTAACCTACACTACCAAGTCTACTCTAAGCCAATCAAGGGTAGACTAGACTAAACCATGTCCCCAAGTGCCACATCTACCCGTTTTTTGAACACAAAAACACATCGCTCCCTTAGAGGGCTGTGGTAACTCTCCCTCCCTCATGGTTCCTGGTTTTGTCCTTCAGGTGCAATTCCAAATGATAATTCGTATCTGGTTGTAAATACTTGGAAGCAGCCTCTTGCTCAGGGACCACTTTGAGGGTTTAGTTTGGTTTTAAACAGTCTTTTGCAGTTCTCCTGTTATTGTAATGAGGGACTACTTGGTTAACCCACTTCTATTCTTGGCCTGATGGAATTCAGAACGTTATGGAAAGGTCTTTCTAGTTACAGGAGTTACCTTGGGATTGAGTTGGATGCTTGTCATTTCCCAAGTCTGGGTGTGGGAAAAAAAAACCAGTGAAACAAATTTCTCAGATGTAAACCGTGGTTATATTTATATCTTGCAGTCATACCTTGCTTCATGTATGTCTGGTCTAGACCTATGTTAAAGCAAAAATGTTGTGGTAGCTGGCAAACAGGAGATGTTGCAGATCTTTCTTCTCAACCTGTTTGAGCTTTTGCATGTATTATTATTGCCACGGACATACAGCTATGTGTATTCATGCTACTCTTGTTCTTACAGACAACGCTCACATGGGGACCCTACTTGTGGTTTCACATGCTGCGAGTTGCTACATCAACCTTATCAGGTATTGCTTTGTTTAATTCTTGGGTAAACCAGTAATGGAATATTGAAAGTCGCTTTCACGGACTGTAAATCATCTTTGTGAGCTACTGGCCATTTTTTCAAAAGTATGAATGAACCTGCATTTTAATCTGTGGAGATGTACTCTCTTGCCTTAGGCACTTTTTTTTTAACTTTCAATCAACAACTCTTGAATGGAAGAAAGAACAGAAAATACCCTTTTGCTGAATGCTTTTTTCCCCCTTTTTCTCCATATGGAGATAGGGTGGCGTTGGCAAGGGAGTATATCAGCTTTCTGTTAAGTTTTTTATGGAACTGTTTTGTGTGATGTTACCTGAAAAGAATGCTATTTGGAGTAACTAAACTGATGGTTTTTATGAAGAAGACAACTAGAAATTACCCCAAGAACACATCTAGTCTTATGCTTTACAACGCACTTCTGAGGTTACAAAATAAACAAAAATAAGAGTATTGTCAAGAGTCTTAAACACACTGCACAGAAGTTTATTTGACCTGTGGACCTCATAAAATTTTGCGAAGTTTTAAAAATGCTTGTCCTAGTCTTTCTTCTTCCCAAGGTGTCAAGTATCTTCATTGGCTTTTTTGACAAATATTGTGGAGTTTCTGTCATTGCATACCTAATTTGGAATATTTTTAAAAACTATTGGCAGTTTATTCTATTAATTAACATATCCTTATTTTTAGAAACACTTTTTCTCTAATGTACAGTGTAATTCTGTTCCTTGTCATACCTGTTCTTCATACACAAAGGTAGATACTGCTTTCCTTTTTTCAGAAGTCTTTTATGAATTTGAAGATTAGTACTTCCTTCTTCCCACTTCAGTTTTGCCTCTTACATTTGTAATTTGAACTGGTCTTTTGCACAGAGCTCTGGATGCCAGGATATCTATAAAATTAGTTATTGTGAATATTCATTGAAGCAGTCAATTGCTAACTTCTGACTTGTTTTCCCTGAAGATGACTAATTGATTTGCATCCTGGGGGCAGATTTGCAATTTGAAGTGCAATGTATTTGATTTCTTGCTTGCCTTTACTCAAGCACCAGGGCTGTCTGTAGCCATCATCACGGTAAGGAGACTGACTGACACAAGCCCACCTGTTCCATACTTCAGACTGTGCACTACCTGTTCTAGCAGAAGAGCACTGCATGTAGCCTCCAGCTTGAAAACTGAGACACCTGAAACCTAAATATTTTATTAATCCATTAGTATGCAACACAGAACATTGTTAAAACTGCTACTGACTTGAAGTATGCATATATCAATAAATAACTCTCTAGTTTTGCTGGTACCGTTAGACTGAAGTGCCAATACAGTTGGTAGCATGTATTTTTGTCTATGTATTTTTGTCTAAGCTTAATTTTCAGTTGAAGTTCAGTTAAAGGCTTATTCTTTAACTGATCCCCTAGCAAAACAAACCTAGATCCAAAGCTGAAACTAGCAGAATTCAAACACTACCACCATCTAGACTTTCATTGATTTCCATGTTCTTCTCCTTTTGTTCATTCTTTATCTTAAAGAACAGTTATTAGTATATTGAGCTAATAATTACATACAAGTAGATTAGCCTAGCAGATTTTGGTTTTGTCTTTTGAGTGAAGTAGGACTATGGAAAACCATTCACGAAAGATGATGTTACCTTTTAAAATAAAACTGTGCTTAAGAATTTTCTTCTAGATACTAATTGTATGTAAACTTCTCGTTATTTTTTAGTGTGTGATTTCCTCGGGGAAAAGATTGCATCTGTTCTGGGGATAAGCACACCAAAATACCAATATGCCATTGATGAGTATTACAGAATGAAGAGAGAGGTACGTGTGTGAGATAGGGGTCTTGCATTCCTTTTCTCCCAACTTGCCTTCCCTGGTATTTTAAAAAGTGAAATTTGTATTCCAGCATTAAAATGAAGCGTGAGAACCTCTATTTCAGCTTGCCTTCAGTTTTTATTTGATGTGTGATTAATGCTTGGTTATCCATCAGCCTTTTCTCACCAGCTCATCAGTCTTAGAACTGGCTGGCTCCTGACCACTGCTCTATTTGTTTCTCTTGTACAATGCATTTTGAAGTCAGCAGGGTGAGAAAGGTGGATGGAGCTGCTACCGGACACTGTAAAGAGGCGGCTGCTAGGAATCTACTTTCCAACTTGTTCAACGAAGTGTCAAGGTTAAATTGAACATGATGTTACCATTTGTTCTAGACCATAACTGGAAATGACTGATAGGTAGCCAGTGCTTATGCAAAAAAACCCTTAGTAATCTTCATTTGGAAGAGATGGGAAACATATTTAAAACTTTACTACTTATTTTTTATTTTTGATAGCTCTTTATTATTAAGAGCTGAAAAGCTTTAGAGAAGGTAGACCTAGCAGTATTGCTATTGACTAAAAATTGCTTATCTAGACATGTGACAGTTTTTCCGTGCTTCTTTAACACAGTTTAATCCTTCACTTTTGATGATTGGTTTTTTTCCATAATGGGAATTCTGGAATATACCTCATCTTATGACCGTTTTCTAGTAGAACAAATGTCCTTGCCTTGTAATAGGAACTGGTATGCTGCTACGGAAAGACTTAAAGTGAACGTAAGTGGTAAGTAGTAAGTAGTAGCTTATGAATCTGGTTATCTATATTTAGGAGGAAGAAGAGGAACAGGAAAACAGGATGTCAGAAGAAGCAGAAAGACAGCATCAGGAACAGCAGAACAAGCCACAAGCTGAAGCTCCTGTCCAGACAGACCAGCCTGAAGCAACAGCATGCACTTCATTCGTGAATGTAAACTTTGAAAATGAGGGAGATTGCCCATCCGTTGGGGAAAATAAACAAGATGTAGTTCCTGTCCCTCCTTAAGTGTAAAGCTCCATGTAATGTAGGAAATAGGAAGCGTCAGGTGTCACAATCTGGCTGTAAGAAGCAGGAAAGATAGGATTATACTTGTTCAGTGAAATACAACTTCTAGCATTCTTATTGATCAGGAGAGAGCTAGGCAATGTCTGTTCAGTCTGTCTGCCTAATAACAGCTGAGGCATTCTGCCAAATTGTCACTTCAGTGAAAATGAAAATTGCACTACAAACATTTGGTGTAAAATTGAATGTGTGAGCTAATTTCTGTGTAAAGCAAGTAAAAATGTCTTGTCTTTGAATTGCTGTGTCTCTAACACCTGTGGATTGCAGATGCAGTGCTGTTTCCTACTTCTAAACACCTATTTCTGATTTGCACATTGTTTGCAACTTGGCTCTCTATGAATAGATTAATAGGAATCAATATCCTGTAACTCACAAGTCATAATAGCATCTGAGTTCCCCTATTTATTGTCACTATTGTATGCATGGATTTTTTTTCTGTTGTTGTTTAACACAAGAGATGTTAGATTTAATGTTAATTAGATTTAAGGGTCCACTGACTTTTTTTTTTTAGTTTAAAAAAAAAAAACAACTTTAAAGGAGGCAGTAAACACCCTTAAGAACTTATTAACAAGTACCAGCACTCTTGGAGGCTAATAGTGCTCAGCTGCTCCATTCAGTGCTGTAGCAAAGTACAGAACTAGCATCAGAATTAAGAGACCCACCTGCTTGAATATTTTACATGCTCTGAATGGTCCTGGGAAATAAACTGAAGTCTTGCTAAATTATACTGAATGCACAGGACACTGTGTATGGTACCAATCTAGAACTATGAAAACTTTTTTGGACATAGATTACCTGAGTGAGTGTACTTGATTAACCTAACCAGACTAATTGTTTAATGTTAAATTATCAGTAAGGGATGTGCCATTGCAGATGTGTCCGCCCCCAGCACAGAATACATAAATAACTAGAAATCACAAAACCAAACTTACGATTCTTCCTTTTTCTTAAATAAACCAACCACTTTGTTGCAATACAGCAACAACAGTAACTTTTATTTTTGTCTAAAAGTGAAGCACAGGTAGCTCCAGAGCTTTTAAGTAGCCCCAGATAGCAGCTAAGGCTATTTTACTGCAATGACTGTCATTCTACTTGTAGCTTGTAAAAGGGGAATGGGTTTACTTCATGACAATCAGATGGCAGTGCCCCAGTCACTTTCTATAGAGAATTGTTGTAGATAAAGGACCAGAGAACCTGCACTAGTTAACCATGTGAAACATTCCTTCCATCCTTGAGATTTCTAAAAAAAAAAAAAAAAACAACTTTAAAAAATAGTCTCCAGTGAAATTTTGTGTTGGGTATCATCATACATCCCTGGCCTTCGTCCCACTACTAACTAGGGAGCCTGACGTAACATCAGAGGTCAGGTAACTTGGCTGTTAGCTTCCAGAGTTCAGTTATGTATTTCAAACAACCCTCCGCCTGAACTAGTGTCCTGTAGAAGCACAAATTCCTTCTCCTCTCATCTGCCCTTAGCATTCCAGCAGTACAGAAAATCTTCTGAGGAAGATTCTGTTCCATCTGTTTTGGTACTCTGTTCTTTGCCTCTTTTTGAATTGTAGGACAGAGGGTGCTGACAGCTGTGTAAAATCATTCCTTAGCCCTGAACATCTGCAAGGGACAGCTTGGTTCAACACCTGGGGGATACACAGAAAAACAGCTTGTTGGGAGCTCTTACACTGTCAGAGATAGAAAGCCTCACATAGCTAAAGAGGAAAACCTTTACAGCTGAAGGACTCTTTGCTTTTCTGCCAAGAAATTAATGTCAGTTGTGTTGTCTCTTCCCCTGCCTCTATCTGTTGCATCAGAAACGCTCTCACTGCCTTGGGTTTAAACTTCTTTGTATAAAATACTGTATTACTCACTGTGCCTTAACTTAATCCTTCCTTCAGTTTTTTGCAAACTGTATGAAAGTGGTTACTTTCATAATGGTTTAATTTTCCTGTAAATGCATTAATTGGTTATTTTATATTTAATATAATTTTTGAACTGGAAGTTGGCTATGGCTTTTCCTTTAAAACTGCGTGGTCTTTGAAACTTTATGCCTGCTCACAGGAGCATGTGCCTGTTCACTGTTTTCATCTTTACTGAGTCACACATCAGGTGGAATATTCAAGCACTGAAATTCAAAATATCACACTACCCCCACCCCTTCCTTACAATCTCATGTAGTACTTGTTAACGTACTCAGTGTGTTCAGCACTACCTCAAACTGATAAATAATGCAAGACTGCAAACACCTCTGGCCTATGGAGCTATTGTAATTTTATCTGAAAGCTGAAACATTTCTACAGCTTTGTTAAAGAGTAAGAGCATTTCACTGCTTTAACTACTGCTGTAGTTCAGCTCTACAATTAAGTTAAATTACATAAAATAACTTGCACATGAGGTTAAGTTTGTGAAAGCCTTTATACAGGTGTTTGGATTAGTTCTAACTAGACCTAAAGCTAGCACAATTTTATTTCTCTTAATGAGCCTCTTAAGAATTAGGAACTGACTGAATAGTTACTTGTCCCTCTGTTAGACACTTAAAGCTGGACACATATAGAAGAAAAAGGCCTGAACTCTTTACCTCTTACTGAAGACTTCTGCCCTTTACAACAGAATACTCAACAGTGCTATCATTAGAGGAAGCCATACAGAATGCAGTGGGAGGCCTGGTATGACTGAGTGGATACAGGCCAGTGCTGAAGATACCAAGAACCACATCTGTACTTTCAGGGTAAATTCACATTTAGAATAGGGTATTCAAATAAGAATAGGGCTTGGTACACAAGGAAAAAGTCCAAAAGTATTTATTTAAAAAAAAAAAAAAAGATAATATTTACCTCTTAAACAACACTTGCTTTTTTGGTTTCAGAAATTAGTTCTGCGATTCCTGTAGGTACCACAGTTTATATTATTTGGGGGGCGAGGGGAGCGAAGTGAAATGGAAGAGGCATCGATTCAAATAATGAATGTTTCCAGCTTCCAACAGTTGGTGCATCAGATTGAGATATCTCTATGGATACAGTCTGTTCCTGTTCAAAGTCACGTATCATCAACATCAGCGGTGTTGTCATTATCACTTGCCACAAGGACCTCTCTGTTCTCGTATGTCCAGAACCCATTCAGATCAATTAGAATGCTGGTAACAGTGTCTCCTTGACTGCTATTGATTAAGTCTTGAAGGGAGATTTTGTAAGGATCCTTAGGCTTCACCATATCAAAGATTTCATCCTATGAAAGAAAAGTCAAGATTGAAGAAAAAAACCCCACACATTAATGAGCAGAATAACGGCTACTTTATACCCTAGACAGAATGATCTTTGGGTAACTCGTGCCACCCACACTGATTTACAAAAAAAAAAAAAAGCTGTTAAGTCCCAAACCATTTAAGATACAAAGCACAATCACTGGCTACAGATAGGAGCAGTGTGCTCAGCTCCCACAACTCAAATAAGAATTTGCTTTTCTGGGGAGGCTTTGGCCTCAAAGTGGCAACACGAAACTCAGTTTGCTTGTATGAGCTAAGTTTTATAGAAGCTCCTGTACTTTTTTTTTTGTTAAGTACTAAAACTGCTAAATGTAAAGTAGGCAGTAATAAAGACAGTTTTATAGACAGGTTTTTTTAGTCACCAGTCTGTCCCCCCCCCAAGGGTTGATCCTAAACCATAAAATAGACATACCAAGTATCTTCAAGCGTAAGGCACAGCAACATGTATTTACCAGGTATACTTTGTCTATTAGTAAGGAAACTACTAGAACAGTTGCATACCGGAGTCCTTACAGAGCAATTACTGAATAGAAAGACATTTTCAAACCTATGAGCAGGACAAGTCAGATCATCTCTACTACTCTGCAAGTAAATATACAACAACCTAGAAACTACGATGTAAGTAAATTATGAAATAGTTATTCAAATATTTCCCATAGTACTCTGTTCAGTAAAACTAACCTTGACATCCTGAAAAGAAACAGGCTCTTGTCCATGGATTTTCATTTGTTCCTGAATAGCCTAGAAAAAAGAAGAAAAGTTAGGAATAGGTAGTGCAGTATTATACTGACCCTGTATGAAACTTTTTTAGTGCTTCTGCATCTTAAGCTGTCTTGCCCTGTAACAAAGCATTCATGGTACAGCTTGCAATCAATTCTCTTCCACAAGTGAGGCAGGGGTGAGTTAAGGCATAATCAATGATACACATCTCTAGGTTCGCAGTTCTCAGTCAGTATGCTAAGAATCCAACTTTCATTATGACCAGTGTTTGAGCACTCTGCAAATAGGATATGCAGACACTTGAATATTATCACTCAACACATAAAATAGTAGTACACTCAAACCAGAAGGTTCAGTTTTCCGACAAAGTGTGAAATACAGACTAGGGAAAGAGAAGGGAAAAGACCAACCAGCAGACAAAGCAGTGTGGCTACTCACACTTCCAATTACTTTGAAAATGGAACCTGTATGCTGGTTGATCAAATACTAATGTGAGGGAGATTATGTATTTGTCTATTTCAGCATTTGTCCATGCATGGAAAGGTTCTCCCAGTTCATGCCATAAGTGGGCATTTCTCATTTTGAGCAAAATAATATTCCCTGCTATTAGTTCTTTTGATGTGGTACTATTTAAACAGCTGCATCACCAAACCTCTGCCTGCAAATAACAACTATAAGCAAAAGCGTTTGTTTCACTAGCACAAGCTGCATAGCCTTGTCAGCACAGCTGTATCAGCATAGCCTCTGTAGGTGCAGACCTACCCACATTTATGCTAGCAGAAAAGCAATTACTCACAGAGTCAAAAGGAACTGTTCTGATTTCAGGGAAAAAACTTAGAACATTCCATTTCCAAAAGTTTAAAGGAGGGACACATTTTGGGGTATGATCAAGCATCTGCTGTAGTCAAGGAATCTTTTCAATAACTAAGCTATAGACTAAGTATGTAACTGGAGACATGCATAAAAATAGCTATGCAACGGCAGCTTATGCAGAATTACCATGTTAAATTGCTTTCACATTAGAATCACTTATGTACTATGACAACACTAAAATTCATGTTTATGTAAAATGTAAAACTGTAAATTAACACCTTTGATTAAAATCAGCGTCAGATCAAAATCAGTTGTGGCCCCTGGCCTCCCCGAATCCTACTGCCATGTGAAAAGTGGAGAAAGTGGTGGGAATGGTGAGCTGTAAAAGCAGGGAGAGAAGACTAGTCATTGCTTAGTTTCTCTAGGATCCTTAGTACTGCCAAGTCCTGGCCCAACAGTTGCCCATCAAGCATATGACACAGCGACAACTACTAAATAAAGTTCATGATGAAGTTCAAAAGGCACATGCAGAAATCCTGCCTGCACCTGCAGCAGAATAACCCCATGCAGCAGTATGTTCTACAGGCCAGCTGGCTAGAAGCAGCTTGGCAGGAAAGGTGCTGGAGGTCTTGGTGCACAAGAAGTTGAACAAGAATCTGCAGAGTGCCCTTGTAGTGACGAGGGCAGATAAATACTGG